TGTTTGGTAGGGGAAAAAAAGGATTATTTCTAATGGTTTGTGAGGGGACACAGGTGTGCAGGAGTGGAGAGGAGGAGGCAGCTCTGTTGTGGGGCAGGTCTGAGCTGGAGGTATGGGCTGTTCTTTCACCCTTTAAGGTGAAAATTTAAAAAAGCTACAACATTGCCCCCCAAGGTGAGCTGAGAGGGCAAAAGGAGAGGCTGAAACCCCACAGATTTGGTGCACAGCTTCAAGGTCCCTGAAATGATGCAGCAAACAGGGATGAAGGAAACACCACACCCCTCTCCTGCTGTCCCCAGTGCCAGGGCGCTGAGCTGGTCCTCTCCCCACATTCCCCACACAAGGAATTGCAATTCCTTAGTGGGCATTGCACACCTTGCCAGGAGAAAGCTGTCCTATAACCTGCTGCTCCCCAAGGAAGATGGGTTTCTGCAGCCCAAGAGCAATTCCCTTCTTTGATATCTATTGCCATTGTTCCCTGCAATGTGTCCCTGCTCCCTGATTCCAGCCAACCCCAGTGCCCCCATCCATAAGATCAGTGGTGATTTTGTGATCTGGCTTTCAGAAGGGCTATGGTTATGGCATGGGCTTATGTTCATGCATTCAACCTCACTGTCCTTGGAGCTGCTGGAGGAGAGAATCCCAGGGCAGGAGCAAGGAAAGGTCACATCCCCAAGCAAGACCACAGCAGTGACCAACCCCTCAGCTCCTCCTTTTCCTGGCAGTGCTGGGGAACACCCCACGTTCCCTTTGTGCTGCACCCCACCAATCCCTCCTGATCCAAAGGTGGCACCTTCAGCAGCTCATGGCCTCCATGTGTGAGAGTGTTCACAGGGGTGCGAAGATGAGGGAAGAGATGAGGATCTGACTCCATGTTTCAGAAGGCTTGATTATTTTATGATATATATTAAAACTGTATTAAAAGTATAGAAGAAAATATTTCATCAGAAGACTAGCTAAGAATAGAGAAAGAAGGAATGAATAACAAAGGTTTGTGGCTCGGACAGAGAGTCCGAGCCAGCTGACTGTGATTGGCCATTAATTAGAAACAACCACATGAGACCAATCACAGATCCACCTGTTGCATTCCACAGCAGCAGATAATCAATGTTTACATTTTGTTCCTGCGGCTTCTCAGCTTCTCAGGAGGAAAAATCTTAAGGAAAGGATTTTTCAAAGGATGTCTGTGACACCCATGAGCTGTTGGCATCCAGCCCCCAGGTGACCCTGTGAGTGCTGTGGGGTGCTGTGGTGGGCTGAGCCATTCTGGGGGGGCTGCCTGCACGGAGAATGGAAGGGGGTTATCCTTGGGGGCTTCTTTGTGTTTTGCTGCAGCAATCCTTGCCAAGCACCCCGAGCATTTGTGGAGCAGCACTGAGGGGTACAGGGGTGCTCAGGTCAGGCCACCCCACCTGTCCAGCTCACCATTTGGAGCCCCCTTTGGGGCCAGCTCCCCCGGGAGGATGGAGCTGCTGGGAATGGTGCCTTTCCCTCCCGTATGCACACAGTCACGATGGTTAGTTAAGTGGCTTGTTTTTCATTAGGAAGAGACTGTTGCTAGGCCACCCTGCTCCCCGGCGTCGGTCGGGAAGGGGTTTCGCAGCCAATCCGGGCTGCTGTGCCGGGCTCTGCACACGCACACATCACGCACACCCCTCCTGCAGCCCAGGTGCTAAGCGCTGCCAGATGTGCCTGCTCATTTCCACATCGCACCTATCCGCTTCTTCCGGCCAAGCCGCTTATTAAGGCTCCTGAGATTTTAATTTAGACTTGGCCGCGAGTTTTCTGCCTTCTAATTTACCTCGGGGAGGAGAGGAGAGGGGTGGGTGGGGGTGCAGGGACATGGGTTCTCCCTCTGCTTTGGTCTCTGATAAAATACTCGAGTGAAGCCTCTGAAACAGGGTGACCTGTCTCTCTGTGTCCCCACAGCGAGGGGACACACTGCCCCAGCTTAGGGGCTTGCTCTGGGCCATTATTAGGTACCAGCATTGCTCCACCACAAGATATTCCTGCTGTGATTTTTAGGGATGTCCTGTCCAACACCAGGTGTCGGTGAGCTCCTTCTAACTTGGTGATTCTGTGATTTGGGCTCTACGTGGCATTTCAGCCGTGTGTGCTGTGATGAGCAGAGCCAGCAGCAAAGCAAGCCAGGTGATTGATTGATCAGGGGATGCTGCTCCCAGCTGTGCTCCCCATGCAAACAGCCCCTGGCAGCTGGGAGAGGAGCTGGACCGTGGTCAGGCACTGGGGATGAAGGGCAGGAGGTCAGACACATCCCTGCCACAGCTGGAACAGCTGCTGCTCTGCCATGGTGTAGTTCCAAGCATCCTCTGGGTATCCAGCACCCACCCAGCAGAATCCCTGGTGCATGGGCAAGGGAGGGAGCCAGCTGAGCCCAGGATATGAGCAGGGTGGAGCCTTTCACAGCTGCAAATCTCTCACCATGGCACAAAAGGAATGGACACCAAAACATGCAGGAAAAGGTGGACAATCCACTCAAGCCTCAGTTTTTGAGTGGCCCCCCATGAAAACCCCCATGTAGCATGAGGAAAGCTCAATAAAAGAGGGAGAAAGCATTGAATTGTGCCTGCTGCTCAAGGAGAAGCTGTTGCTAGACAGAAGTAAAAGCTGTCACCATCGGCTCCCATTGGCTCAGCCCCACTCCAATGACGGCCTTATCGGTTACCTGCACTCGCAGCTGCCTGGAAAAAGCTCATTTGACAATGTTTTCCCTCTGATAAAAAAGCCCAGTGCTGGATTCATGGGTTTGGGTTAATCATTGTTCAGGGGTTGTTGAGATAACAGCTGAGTTTTCTGCAGATTCTTCAATTATCACAAATTTTAGCGTAAATGGGGAGCCAGCCCAGCTCTCCCATCTAAAGATGCTCAGCCTCCCAACAGCAGCTCCAGCAGGCTGCCCGTGAGATGAGCCCGAGCGTGTGATGAGCTGGAGTTTGCTCAGCCATGGCAACTGGAGCTGGCAGGGAGGTGAATATTCACAAACACCTGTGAAAATCCCCATTAGCTCTGAGAGGCTGGAAATGGGGCAAATGTCACCACTTAGATTATTCAGAGCAAACATTGTTGGCAGGGAGCAGATTGCCACCACGTCTAATCGTCCATCTGAGGTCTGCTCAGCAGCAGCCCTATTTTGGGGGGCTGCAGTACACAGAGTTGGTGTTTTCCAAGCCCTTCAAATCTGATGGAAATGGGGATTAACCCTCAGATTTGTTTCTCACCTTGCCCAAGAGGTGGAGATCATGGCGTAGAAGTAAAGCTTGCAGACCATGACTGCCCCAAAGGGCAGCTACCTCCAAATTTGCCTCCAAAGCAGGGAGGGTTAAATCAGTGTATGGTCAATATTTTGGAAATGCTTTTTTTTTTTTTTCCTTAATTTTGCCTTAGGCAGGCTGAGTCACAGGCTGGTAAAACTTTCTCCAGGTTCACCCCAACACACCTGTGTCTCACACTGACCATCACAGAGCTTAGTGCAAGGCAGTGAGACAGGGGGCTGGAGGGGCAACAGGCTGGGGCTCAGGTGGAGAAATAATTTGGGAGCCATGGAGTGCCCCATATAAGCTGTCCACAAGCTCATGTACACCCCAAAGGGATGTGGTTACACAGGCCAGGTTATGTGGCCATGAACGAAGCTCTTCTCTGTCCTTCGTCCAGGTCTGCTTTCCCAGGAGCACAGACAGCACTGCTGCATCACTTTTGGAATGCCACCATCTACTGACAGTGGAATGCAGAGCTTTCACCTTTCCTGCAGCTTTGCCTCCCTCCTGCTCTCCTGGGGGAGGTGGGGATGGCAGGGAGGAGGAAACAGTACTGCACCAGCTGTGCTCCTCTGTGTGCCCTGTGGGATTCAGGTCCAGCTGACATTGCACAGCTCAGCTGAGCTGCACCCTGAGCTGGCAGAGAGGGTGCTGCTGGCCCTGTTTTACACCCTGCTGCATCAGGAACACACCTGGGACAAACTGGAACAAGCAGGATTTAAAGGACCACATTTCCTTTCCTGTCAACACCATGAGCTCACGGCAGAGCCCAGGTTATTGTATCTGTTGAAGGATGGCTGTGTTTGGGCCGCTGTGAAGACAGAGATTTTTAGATGTGTCTGACACGTTTCAAAGCATTTCTGAGCTGTTCCTGGCTCCCTCTGCCAGGCAGGGAGGAGTTAAGATGGGAAGTGCAAGATGTGTCTGGTAATGGCACTGATGTGTGCATCAGGTGTGTCTGCGTCACCCGGCTGCCTTGGCCACTTCCCAAGGCTGGGGCTCAGCTCTCCTGACCCTCCACTGCCTGCAGGGAAAAGCCTGGGATGGTCTAGCCTGGCTGATGGGGTCATGGACTGCATGCCAGGGCTGGATATTGTACCCCCTGTGCTGCAGCAGGGTCCCCAAAGTCCCCAAGGTGCTGGCAGCCCTCCAGCCTGCTCTGCCACCTCCCTCTCACAGCCCAGGCACTTGGGACTCTGCTCAGGGGATGCCCCCAATGGCTGCCCTTAGGGCACATTGTGAAGAAACATCAATTTTCTACAACCATGGCTGTTCAGTTCCCTGGTAAATCAAGTAATTCCCTGTGTCCAGCCCCAAACCCCTCCCTGGTGCTCACACACCCAGCTGGGGCACATTTCTGCAGCCACAGATCATCTACGTCACCTCCAGGCAGAGTCACTGCAGATGAGCAGCACCCTGTCCCCACACTGTGACAGCAGCCCATGTCACAGCTCACAACATTCCCACAGTGATCTTGCTCCCAGACCCTGGCTGAGCCCATCCCTGCTCCTCCTGCCACACAGGGGTGTCCCCAGAGCAGAGGGGACAAGCCTGTACCCCAAGGAACTGCCCACTCCAGCCTCTCAAAGCACCTCTTCCAGTTGCAGGTGGGTTTGAAGCCCTAAAACACGGGATGCTACTTGGGCACCTGTTTGCCAACCCCATGCCTGCCCTCTCACTCCTGGAGAACTGCCAGATCAAATAATGCAGAATATACACAAGGGGTTTAGCCAGAACAGTTTTTAATTCAGAATTGGACAATCATGTGAATAATTTATTTAAAATTAAGTGCATTTTGTGCTCTCGTCCAGGCTGGACATTGATTAGACCCAGACTTTCCTCTTGAACTTCATTGTGCAGGTGGATCCCTCTAAATCAATGGGGCCTGATGGGATTCATCCAAGAGCTGCTAATGTCATTACAGAGCTGCTCTACTATTTTTGAGCAGTCTTAGGAATCCAGAGAGGTCCCAGCTGACTGAAAGGTGCCAAATGTTGCCCCAGTTTTGAAGGGCAAGGACACTGGAAGATACAGTCTGTCAGTCTCACTTCACTGACAGGTAAAAGGATGGGAAGTATTTTTCTAGGAGGATTTGAAAATCACCTGGAGCACAATGCAATCATTGTTCACATCCAGCATGGCTTCACCAGGGCAAAGTCCTGCTCACTGAACCTGATTTCCTTCTACAGCAGGGCTCCCACCTAGCTGATCAAGGGGCACCAGGTGATGAAATCTTTCTGGACTTCAGCAAAGCTTTTGATACCATATCACAGTATCCTTCTGGAGAAAACATTCAGCACACAGCTGGAGCTGAGCACTGAACAGGCTCCCCAGGGAAGTGCTCACAGCACCAAGCACGTCTAAGTTCAAGGAGTGTTTGGATAAAGCTCTCAGGCACATGATGGGATTCTTTGGGTGTCCTGTGCAGGGCCAGGAGTTGGACTCAGTGATCCTGATGGATCCCTTCCAACTCAGCATATTCTATGATTCTATGAAAGAAAGTGAGCAGCAAACTGGCTGTTTAATGGCCCAGAGGGTTCTCAGCCTTTGGACATCAGCAAAACACCTCAGTCCCTGCACAGGAAAGCTTGCCCCTTGCTTCTGGGAGGACAACCCCATAGCAGGCATGGAGGGTGTTAGCAGCCCCCATTACACACCACAGAGGCTCCTCCAGGCTGACACAGGACCCTGCTCATCCCCAAGTGACAGATGAACACAGCACAGTCTGTGTGACAGCTCAAGGCTGCAGACAGCATTTTTGGGAGGTTGCTTGTGTCCAGGTGTCACCATGTCTCCATCCCTGAGCAGAGCAGTGCTGGGCACAAGCCCAGGGGAGGAGGTCAGCAGATACCTCCACCTTTAACAGCTGAAGGCACCAGGATGGCCCAAACCACACAGAGGTGACACTGTCCCCATCACAGGCTGCTTGCCATCAGCTCTGTGGGCCAGTACTGGTCATCCAGGTAGTGGCTGCTGTCTGCAGCAGGGTCTGTGACGGGGCTGGGGGGCCGGGGGGGCAGGCTGTGGGCCAGCTCCTTCTCCCACTGCACCTCCACCAGTCTGTACAGCTCCATGGCTGTCTGGGCATCCTCCACCGATGAGTGTCCTTTGCGGCCCTCCTGAGAAAAGGGGAAAAAAAGAGAAAAGGGGAAAAAGCCTCATTAGATAAAAGGGGCAGCAAAAATCTCAGAGGTCATGCCATCTGCTTGCTTGGAAGGACACAAGTGATGTGGGTTTTGGACACAGCAGAAGTTTGATGCAGCCAAGGCCATACAGGTATCTCTTCCACCCTTTTTGGAGGGCACAGATCCTGTCCCCATTTTACTAAGATAATTAATGGTCAGCTTGGGAGGTCCTTGGCTCTCCCAGCTTATTTATAGTCAGGACCACAGGGTGAACAATGTTCATCTCCACCTCACAGAGAACACACATGGAGGTGGGACAACCAAGCTGACCACAGAGGTCCATAGTTAACCCAAGGTTGTTCCCCATCTCAGGGTTCCTGTTGCTCACCTGGATCTTTTTATGGAGCAGGTGCCTGGCCAAGTTCTTGAGGGAGACATTGGCTCTGATGGGCAGCCCTGCCCTTTTCTTCAGCGCAGGGCTCTGGCTGGTGTCTCGAGTCCTGTCTTTTGGGTGGAAGTACTTCAGGGCTTGGAAGTCATTGTGGATGGCGTGTCCTACCACAATCTTGTCTTTCAAGATCTTCAGGATCTAGAAGAGTCACAGGGGGTTAGACTGACACTGCAGTGAAAGAAATACCAAGATAAAATAAGCCATTTTCTATTCAATTCAGCTCCTTGGCTTCTACTTTTTAGGTTCCCAGAAGGAATAACAAGCAAGCAAACCAATCCACTGCACAGCTTGAGGCTCCCATTCCTCTGCTGTGCCTCACAGCAGCCTAGCACAGGCCACCAAGAATCCCAATTTATGCCTGACAGATAACACAGAAGCTTTTTTATTTTTTTAATTTTTTTTTCCCCTGACCTCAGCCTGGGCAGCCTTGAAGGGAATTGCATTCTTCATGTGCTGCTTGGTGATGCCACTCCAGCGTGTCCGGTAGTCCACGATGGGGAGCTCGGGCCGGACGTACTTGTCATAGATGACATCCCCCTCATAGTTCACCACAGAGCACCGTGCCAGCTCGCTCAGCTTGCCCTGGGGGCCCGTGCCCACCATCTCACAGTCGATGGCCACGTACTTGCCCGGGCGCAGCACCAGGGAGGACGTCCTCACCCTCCCGGAGCTGCTGTTCCCCTGGGACAGCAGCACCGAGTGGTGCCTGGCTATGCTGTCTGGAGAGGCAGATGGAGACAGGGATGAGGACATGCTCTGCTTGGCCTTGGGGACCTTGTCACAGCTCTCGGTGAGTTCAGCGTGTGCCTCCAGCCCCACCTTGGGGCTCTGACTGCCTGGGTGCCTGTGGGGGCTCAGCAGCCCCCTCTGCTCCAGCACTGCCCGGCGTGCCATGAACCGCTGGTGCCTTCGGCTCCTCTTCTTGCTGCGAGCCTGCGGCGAGCCGGGACCCCTCGGGGCCTGAGCACAGCCCCCATGGGTGCCCTGCAGGGTGGGCACGGCGACCTTCGGGGCGGGCAGCAGCGGGGTCATCTGCCCTTTGCCTGGTGGCATTCCTAAGGGAGGGTGCACAGGGGGCCGTGAGTGCCGTGCAGACCCCAGTTTCTCCTGTCAGAAAAGGACGCACAGAGCCCAGGGCAAATCCATCCTCCCACCCACAAACCCACACTGGGGACACCGGGGGTGGCACAGGCAGGAGAAACGGGGCAGGGCAAGGGGAAGGAAGGAACATGGACAGACTGTCGCACCCTGTGACACACCACGCCTTTGCCCCCTCATTCCCGGTCCCACCCCGCCCCATTCCCGGCCCCAGGGCCCTGCCCACCGCACTGTCCCCTCTGTTCCGCCATTCCGTACTCCCCACGGCCCTGTCTGCCCATTCCCGGCCCCAGGGCCCTGCCCACCCCCTGCCCACCGCACTGTCCCCTCTGTTCCCCCATTCCGTACTCCCCAAGGCCCTGTCTGCCCATTCACGGCCCCAGGGCCCTGCCCACTGCACTGTCCCCTCTGTCCCCCCCCCCGTTCCCTACTCCCTCAGGCCCTGTCTGCCCATTACCCGGGCCCTCTCCACCTCGCTCCAGGCCCCAGCTCCCTGCCCGCCCCGTTACCCATCCGCAGGCCGCTGCCGGCGCCCCTGGTGTCCCCTGTACCCTCCGGTGTCCCCTATGCCCCCTGTCCCCTCTCTACCCCCGGTGTCCCGGTGCTGACCGCTCCCGGCGCCGCTCACACGTGTCCGGCCCGGAAGCCGCTCCGCGCACATGCCCGAGCAAGTCCAGCCGTGGCCACGCCCCCCTGCTTCCCCATTGGCTGCACGGAGCGGCTAATCTGCATACGGGGGCGGGGTTTCACCGTCCCCGAGGGCGGGGCCGTCGCGCTTTTGGGGCCTTTTTGGGGTTTTTTGGGGAGCTCCCATCCGGAGCTTCCAGCCCAGACTGGGTGATGCTCAGGCCTTCAAGCCTGTCCTCACCTCTGCCCCCGGTAGAAGGGACCTTCCGTGGGGCTGGGTTTGGGGTGGGATGCACGCTGCGGTTCCTAGGAGTAAACTAGTGATGAAGATGAGATTTGCCTGGGGGTTCATTAGCAGGGGAGCGAGTTGAACCATCATTTTCGGGGTATGGTCCCGATAGCTTGTTTAGCTGACCCTACTAGAAAGTAATGTAAAGGAAGTATGGAGGGTTTTGATTCCTCTAGTGTAGGTTCAATTCCTGCTTTTCTAAGTATTAGGAGATCAGAGGGCTGGTATAGCTCCATGTTCACTTTATCATAGTGACCCTTAGTGTTCAGGCACATTTCCAGTAGGGCCTTAGGTAAGGAGTAGGCCCGTGTAGCAAATTGACATGCTGGTATGTCAGAGGCAAAGGGCTAGTGTGAGTGGCAGGAAGTTTTTCCATAGCAGGTGTATCAACTGGTCATATTAGAATCATGGGTAAGAGGCGTGAACTCATAGGAATCCTGCTGATAAGAGCAGTACTTTTGTGGCTACTAGGACAGAGAATAGTTCTTGAGGGAGGTTGAAGAGGCTTGGGTTGAAACCAAGTCCATGCAGCTCCACACGGACACACAGCTGTGCTTTTCCCGTGTGTTCCCTGTGTCCCTGTGTCCTGCAGCTGGGCTGGAGCACGACAGCTTGAGGTGTACATCCTCCAGGCTTTCCCAGGATGCTCCCCGGAGTTGTGGAGGGCAGCTCTGGCTGGGGCATGGTTGAAGGGGGGGTTTCAGACCGGCCTCTCGTTGCTTCCCTCTCAAAGCTTACAAAAGCAATGTCCGAGGTGGTCAGAAGAGGAGAAGGGCAGCCCCAGCCAGTGGATTGTCCCCGTGCCTTCAGCATCGCTGCAGAGGCCGTGTGCCCTAGGGCAGACTGTGACTTGTTGTGGTGGGATGAGCCATACAACAACAAAATCACTAGTCTTCCACAGGGAACCAGGCACCATGTCCATCCTCATCCCTGCCTTGCTGGGAGGGTTCCCTCTCCCTGCTACTGATGGGGCTCACAGGGATGCAAGACAAGTGTTTCACACTCCACTGTTCTCCTTTTCCATGACCCATTAGCTTCCCTAGCCTCATAAGAAAGGAAAGATTTAGATTGCCCTCTGACTTATTTATTTTCTGTTTTTCTTTTGGTCAGTAAACCTCATCCTTAAATCAGTTGCTCCATGTTTTGCATTTCTTACATCCAACCCTGCTGTTCAATTAATTAATCTCCCTTTAATGAGAGCCACTCAAGTGTCTCTTAATATCTTGCTAGGGAATCCTGTCAGGTCTCTGTGTAGAAACTTACACTCTTTTCTGGTGTTTTTGGTGAAACTGCATTACAGCTCTTGGAGATGTTTCATTTCATATTCATGGGCATCTCCACTGTGTTTTTCTCCCAGTAAATGAGGTGTGAGCTCCCTAACAGCATACAACTGGGAGCAAACTCAAGCCTTGCTGTGAGAGACATGGGCTTGTGTTTCTCCTCCAGCTCTGGGTAGATAAGGAGGTGGTCACTGCCTGCTCTTCTCCCTCACACCCTGCATTATATGATGAAAGACTCAAGTGCCTGGCTGAGAGCTTCTCCCTGGACATATTGGTGGGTCTGATCACTCTTGGCTTGTCCACAACAAACCCATCCATGTTCCTTCTGGTCTTCCCAGGATGTGTAGTTTGCATTCTCTTTGAGAGTGCAAAGTTTAGCTGGCTTCAAAGAAACCTCAACAGACGAAGTTATGACCTGTGGGGAGGAAGAGAAAAGCTTTTCCCTGTTTTCCAGAGTGGTCAGGCTTGAGAAACCAGATAATCCAGAATGCAAGGGAATCATGATAGCACCCAGAATGCAGTGCTATCATTTTTTCTCCCTACCACATATACAAAGATGAAAGTGAAAAAAAAGTCAAAATAACTTTGAAAGGTGAGTCAAAATAACTTTGAAAATGTCCCGTGACCTCCTGTGTTCCCACTGACCCCCGGATTCTCAGGAGATGGTTTCCCCACAGTAGGTATTTCCCCCTTTGGTAAAAGCCTCGTGTTGAACAGGGATGCTACTCACCTCCCCAAGGTCCTGGGGCCATGCTGGGGGTGGAGGGTTGGGCACCAGATGGTAGAAATCACATTTCAGATGTGGCAGATGAGCTGAGATGAAGGCAGAGCGCTCCAGAGCCCGGGAGAGGTTTCTGCGGTGTTTGCACAATTTGAAATAATAACGAAATCTGTAAAACTCTGGGTAGAGCACGACTAGAATAACAGGCTAAATTTGTCAGATGAATAATTTACTAGAAGTGATTGGCCGTGCTCCAAGTGAGATGAGCACCAGGCTGGTTCCAGGCTGAGCAGCCTGGGTGTCTCTGTCCTCAGCTGGGAGCTGCTCCCTCTCCTGCTGCCTGGTCACTGCTCTGCCATCAAAGCTGGTCCCTAGACAGGATGCCTTTCCCCAGGTCATCCCCAGGGATTCCTGCAGAGCTCCTGGTGCCCTCCAGAAGGTGCCTGCTCTTTATTTTCAAGGTGCTGCTTTGCAGAGAGGAGGTGGTGGAGGTGGGTGTCTGTCTCTGGCTCCAGGCTCGTGGACTCACCCATCCTCTGCCTCTCTCCCTCCTCCAGCCACTTCTCTGTCCTCAGTCGTGGTGCAGAGCGGATGGAAGAACAGACACATCTTGACATTTGGGGTGGGAAGGGAGCTGAAATCCCAGTGCTGAGAGGAGATGGTGACTGCAGCCTCAGCGAGCAATTAATGTGATCATGTTTATGAATGCGGATCAGTAATTCCAGGTAAACTCCCCAAGAGCAGTGCTGCAGGCGAACAAAGCCTCCTGCCCACCCAGGGGCCTGCCAGCAGGCCCTGCCAGTGCCAGCACATCCCTGCTGTGACTCTAAACTGCTTCATTTCCTCGTGCCAGCCTCAACATGCATCGTTTTGTCTCCTATTACCTCGATGCCAGATCTCCTCTTTGCGGTGTTGGTTGCACCGTGTCCTCCTGGACCTCTCTGTTCCCTCCCTGCCAGGGGGATGATTGGTGGGAATGGGATGGGTTCACTCAGAGAAGGCAGCAAGGACCCAGCTTTGCCTCCAGGGGTGGTGAGGGATCACTTCATCATCCTGGGCTCTGCAGGCTGCCTGGTGCCTCCCCATCACCCACCTCTGCTTGGGGAACCTCACCAGGGCTCTCTGAGCTGCTCCCATCACCCTGAGTAGGCTTGTGGCAGGGCTGGTTTGTGCCCAGCAGCATCTAGAAGATCAAACAGAAGCTGGGAAGCTCAGAAATAGGTTGGGGTAGTGACCAATTTCTGGACCTTATTTCCTTTAGAGCAAGGAAGTCTCATCATGATGGAGCACCTGGAAATACCAGCACCATCCTTTGGTGCAAGGGACCAGCTGGGGCAGCCAGTGCTGTGTGACTGAGGTGTCACCAGCACAAGGATGTCAGCACAGACAGGCACCATGTCACCCCCTGGCCTTTGCTGTGATGGAATTTGGAGCACTGCAACCATCCTGGTCCACAGCAGAGACCCAGCACAGGGATTCCTGCAGGTCCCCTCCATTGCCATGCTGAGATCCCCTTCCTGAGCCCACATGTGCAGAACCTCCAGGAACTTAGCCAGGAGACTCCCTCCTGGCTGAGGATGGGGACGGACTGTGTGTGAGAGCAGCTGCTCAGCCATGAAAACCATTCAGTGCTGTAAAGCTGTGCTTGGAAGGCACAAAACCTTTCCCTCAGAGCACCGGAGCCTCCCTATTCCTCTGACACTCCTCCAACACTCCATGGGAATTGCCTGTATCCCTCCAGCACAGACAGATCTCCTCTTCAGTCATGTCCAGGGGGGTGTCAGTGCTCCGGGGATGCTGCTGGGGATAAGGAGGGATGGATGCTCCCAGAGCAGGAGGTGAGGGAGGATGATGCAGCCATCCATCTTCCCCCTCGCTCCCCATTTTCTGGCTGGCCCCCAGGAGAGCAGTGAGCAATTATGGTCCACGCGGAAGCTTCATTATTGCCCTGTCGTGGCCTCGTTTGATGAGATGTTTTATTGCCAAACTTATTAAAAGTGAAACGTGCGGTTTCTGCGCAGCAATTTCCTGGCTGCAGCGATAAGCTGGGCTCTGCCTGCTGTGTAATAAACAGTTATTTTTATGTACAGCTCTGGCTGGGGTGACAAGGAAGGGAGAGGGCCTGGCTCGTGTTAATTGCGATGGTTAATGGGATCTGTGCTGGGAGCTGCGTGTGAGGAGGTGCCTGCCCTTCCCCTGCCACAGTCTGTGACAGAGGTGCTCTGGGTGCTGGCAGTGGGGACTGGGCAGGGTCTCCTCCCCACAGTGCATGGGAACAAGAGGGATTAGTCTGAAAGCTCCTCACCTGCCTCCTCTCACTCCTTCTTCACAGCCTGAGCAAATGAGGGACCTGCTGTGCACCCCCATGGTGTGAGACTCCATCCCCTGCAAGGGCTGCCCCTCAGCTCCATTGATTGCACCCGTGCAGGAGGCTGGAGGGAACTCCAAAACCTGGGAGCTTCACTTCATCTTCCCCAGATCCTGCTCAAGAACCTCTTTGTCTGCAGCAGCGTTTGCAGGTGATGCTGGAGGCCAAAGCATCACCGTGGAGCATCCACCATGTCACCTCCCTCTGTCCCTCCCTGGCAGCAGACAGGTGCTGGAGAGGAGACAGTAAATTCAACAGGCACACTGATGCCACAGAAAACATGTGCCACTGCTGAGCTTGGAGCAGCAAAACTCTGATAAATATCAGCAAAGCTGATAAATATCGTTCTATTTTGTCAGAAACAAAGTGTCCTCATTAGGTGTGAGGTCTGTTTTTTGGTTTAATTACATCTTTTAAATACATTTTGAAAGGAAGCAGCTTTTTAAAATGCAAGGTGTCAGAACTGCATTTACAAAAATCCTGATTGCCTTTTTTTTTATTTTCCAGACCTGGCCAAAGCTATTAGTTCAACTCAAGCTGAAAGTGCATAACTTTCCCCAATAAACAATTTGTCAGAAAAATTCCTTCTGGCTCTGGGAGATCTGTTTGTTATTTGTCAGCAGTCAAAACCCTGTTGGGTATTTCCCATCTGACTTCTTTTCTTAACTGCATCTTTATTGGTCTGGGAATTAACAGCTGAAGATGTGATACTTGCTATTCATTGCAGTCATCCCAAATGTCACTCATCTCATCAGGCCATGGCTCCACAAAGCAAAAACCCCTCTCCTTTTCTTCAGTTCACCATTTTTGGGTAACCACGGGGTTTTTCATCCCAGATTTTCTCCCTTCATCCTCCTGATCCTGCAGTGTGCAATGGTATTCCCAGGCTTGGGCTCACATCCCTATCTCCCACATCCATCCCCATCCCTGCTGCCCATCTCAGCCTCTTGCTGGGCAAACTCCCTGCACTGCCAGCTCAGCCCCTCATTAATTTGTATTGCAGCGTGTGTTGCGGGCTGACGTGTAATTAGAGCTCCTGAAGCCTGTCTCATGCTGTAATTGCCATGACAGGGGCCACAGCATATCCGCTTGTTAATTAGTAAACCACAATATCCCGGGGGCTCGTTGAGAGCCGCCTTAATTGTATTTCAGCTGGAACAGAGGGATAATTACCCTTTGCTAGCACTGCCACTTTTAAATTCTTAAAAAAAAAAAAAAAAAAAAAAAAAGAAAGAAAGAAAGAAAGAAAGAAAGAAAAAAAAAAAAAAAAAAAAAAAAAAAGAAAGAAAGAAAAGAAAGGAAAACCCAAATCAAGCTCCTCTGCTGCTTTCCCTC